CAGGGGTGAGCAACCTTTTTAATCAACGGGCCAATTTAAATTTTAAAATTTTTTGGCGGGCCGCACATAAAGTAACACTTATTAATAATTTACAAAACTTTATTTATAATAAACATTAGAATAAAAAAATATAAAATTTAAAAAAAGTAAAGATTTCATATACAAATTTTAATGCAAAATAAAAACAAACAAGAAAAGAACAGAAAAACATATTTACTTGAAATTTTTAATGAGAAATTTGGCACTGTTTTTTCGATACAAGCTGATCAATATCAGCCGGAATTGATGAGGAAACTACATGTACGCAGCTTTCTAATCATGCATCACTCAGTCTTGATTGGTGGTAATTTTTGATTAATTTCATGGTTGAAAATAATTGTTCGCAAACATACGTACTTCTGAACAGAGACATCATTTGCTTTGCATTTTTTGTCAAAAGCGGAAATTTCTCAGGGCTCACATAAGATTTATAAAAATTTTCGATGTTTACTGAGAAAAATACATTTTTTAAATCGGTATTATTCTGCATGTCAATCACTTCCATTTGAAAGTCTTCGGGAACTGTATCCACATCGATATTAAATGGCGAGGAAAACATTTTCATGGAAACCGCTGTCTTCTCAGCTTTGAACATTTGCAATCGTAATTGAAATTCGTTGATTAAAATGTCTATATATTGTGCGTATTTTTGAGAAGTAGTAACGTTTTCTTTTTCTAAATGTGGAAAGTGAAACACATTATTCTGCAAAAGATGCTGTTTCCACAATTTTAATTTGCGCTCAAAGCCCTGAATTTTATCATACAAATTGTGAATAAACTGTCCTTTGCCTTGAAGTTCCACATTAAGATCATTGAGATGCTGAGTCATGTCGATAAGAAACCCAAAATCACACATCCATTCTTTATTACCAAAATGAGAAAAGGCATATCCCTTCATATCCAAGAACAATTGTATTTCGCTTTTTAAGTTGTATACTTTTTTTTAGCATTGCACCTCTACTAAGCCAACGTACTTCGGTATTAAAAACCACGTCGCCATATTCAGTTTCTAAATCTTTCAGGAATTCTTTAAATTCACGGTGATTTAACGCGCGCGACTTTATAAAATTGATTAGTTTAATTATTGGTACTGTGACATTTGGCAAACTCAATCTTTTCGCACACAAATTTTCCTGGTGAATTGTGCAGTGGTTAACGAATATTTCCCTTCCTGTGACCTTCTTAATGTCTTGAAATAGCCTTCCTGATACTCCTACCTCCATGCATGCCATTGCTCGTGATCCATCTGTCGATATACCAATAATCTTTTCTAATGAAATTGAAAAATCGTCACAAAAAATTGTTTCGGTTTAGTATGTACTACCATTTTATTATAATTAAATTTATAACAATATATTGATGGGAGAAAGTCGATAAAATAAATTCAATTTTAAAAATGCTTGGTGGGCCGCATAAACATGTTTAACGGGCCGCGTGTTGCTCATTCCTGTTCTAGACTGTCGTGGCGGTATCGTACTTTGTCAATTTTTGGATGAATTCCACTATGAACAGCTGTATCGTTCGAACACCAAGATCAAAGTTATTTGATCTTGGTGTTCGAACGATACCGCCACGACAGTCTAGAAAGTAAAGATGACCTTAAGAAGCTGGCCAGTCAGGGCAGGGAGGTTCTGCCTCATCCACCTTACAACCTAGACTTGGTGCAACTGACTACCATCTATTTCGCGCCTTGCAGAATCATATTACCATTACACAGTTCAATTACAATACCAGGCGCTCAAGACTTTCTTCAAAAGAAAAAAAAAATCTTCTATGCTCACGGGATTGAAAGTTCGCATAAAAGATGGCGAGATGTGATCGATATTCATGATGATTACCTACCAGGCTAAACTGTAATCGTTGTTAATTGCCAATGTACTGTACTTTCTTCAAAATGTCTAAATTTTACATTTACAACCTAATACTTAGAAAATTTGGATGTAATCTTATAATATATCAACGAATCCATTGTTAATTAGGTGTATATTGTCGATATTTGCCGTCCTTATGATCGCTGGTACTTTATGCGATGTCGTAAAAATTTACAAGAATAAGGAAAAAATCATTACAGAAGATAACAATTCGAACATAGCCAATGGAAATTCTGCAGAAAGTTTTAACAGATACGAATTTAACAACGAAAATGCGGTAATCATCAGCTCAGAAATATCTGATTCCACAACGTATTTGGCAAATGACAAGAATTCCGAATCAGGTAATATTTAACTTTTCATAATTTGAAATTTTGAAGCTAAAAAAATTGACTTCTATTTTCTTCTATTAGCAATTGTGGAATTCTTAATTTGTTTTTCTGTATACACAAATTTCGGTCAAATATTTAACACTGAAAACGTTAAGAAACCTTTACAATGCATTCATGGATTTCGTTTTATAAGCATGCTTTGGATCATTGTTGGATATACAATAGTCGAAATTTCAATGTTTTCTGGTAGGTTAAAATTGTTATTTTATTAAACATTACGAATTATTGATATATTGTTTTTTCCTATTTAGAAAATGGATTAGAATTTATGGATGTTTTAAAACAGCAATATTCTTTATTCATAATTCAAGGTACATTTGCAGTTGATACATTTTTCTTAATCGGGTAAGAAAACTTCTCTAATTTTCTTTTTAAAAATATAATTTTTAATGTCATATCCTTTATTTTGCTTTTTGTTTGAGTTTATATCAAAATTATTATTTCAACCACCAATAGTGCTGTTTTTGCCCAAACTTATCACAACAACTTCTGTATGTTATAACTCTCTTATACAGAAGTCGTTGTGATAAGTTTGGGGCACTAAAAAAACAGCACTATTGGGTTGCTGAAATAATAATCTTTTAACGTCATATTTTTGCTGTCTATTTGCAGTGGCTTTTTACTATCTTATTTATTTTTAAAAAGACATAAAGGAAAAAACAAACAATTTCATTGTACTCGTTATTATCTTCATCGAATTTGGAGGTAAATCAATTAGCTTTACCCCAAAATTTCACATTTTATGACATATTTCTCAATTCGTATTATTTTCAGGTTAACTCCTACATACCTAATGATTTTAGGGTTTTATGCAACTATCTGGTTACACGTAGGAATGGGTCCATTTTGGCCAAAAGAAAACACTCAATGCAAAAAATTTTGGTGGTGGAATCTCTTGTATATTGTAAATTTCAAAGATTTGTCGGATACGGTAATTTATCATTAAACTAAACTTGATTTTCAAAATTATCTAAACAATAATACAACTAATAATGCTATATTCATTGTAGTGTATGGGATGGACGTGGTATTTAGCCAACGACATGCAGTTCTATATCATCAGTCCGATATTTTTGTTACTTTTATGGAAGTATGTTTATTAATTTCGAAATCTATTTCACTAGTAATATAAATACTGTATTTTTATATTAAAATTGCACTTCAACTTTTCAGGTGTTCTCTTGGGGGAATCATATTGCTATGCATTACTTTAATTGCATCAATGATTGTCACGGGACTTCTCGGAAAATCCGGCATAATCTCAATATTTTCTGCTGTCGAAAATCTCGAATCAGATGTGGGAAAACTGCAAAATGAGTCAGTTTGTGTATCGTTTATTTGACATTATTACGCACGTTTTTTGTTTATAAGTGAAACTTTGTATTATTTGATTTCCAAACATTTAAGTAATTAATTTTTCTTTTTAGTTTTACGAATTATTATAATGATATTTACGTCAAGCCTTATTGTCGCATCGGGCCATATCTCGTAGGAATTCTCACCGGTTATGCTCTTCACAAAGCCAAACATTTCAAACATTATTTTAGTAGAGTATGTCTAAATTTAAATTGTGCTAATAATATTACTGTATATTTTTGTTGAATATACAATGTTTAATTAATATTATTTGTTTTTTCAGAAAATTATATTTTTATGTTGGGTTTTGTCTTTGACTGTTACTTCTACGGTTATTTTTGCCGTTTATCATGCACATATGGGATCTGTGACTGCTTCTGCTTACAACGCTTTATCTCGAGTGACGTGGAGTATTGCTGTTGCTTGGATGATATTTGCTTGTACAGCAGGATTCGGAGGTATTCACACATAAAACAAAGATTATAAGGATAAATACCTGATCATATCTATAATAATGATTTAATTTTCAGGTAAAATTAATACAATATTATCATGGAAAGCGTGGATTCCGTTAAGCAGATTAACTTACTGCGCGTTTCTTTTACACCCCATTGTTATAAAAACGTTTTTCAATTCTAGTTCAAAGCCATTTTTCTTTCAGATAGATTCTATGGTAAGTAATCCAATAAGAAACTATCGCTACTATTTTTATTAATTTAGTGAAAATTATAGATAATTATGATAACTTAAAATAAAATTATACTAAACCTTTACCCAAAAGGATAGTATACGTCAATACGCGTATACTGAAAATGCCAGATTTGAAAAAATAAAATATTTAGACTACAGAGCATTATTATTTATTTAAAATTGTAGGTATCGAAATATAGATCAAATTACAGGTTTCTCTTGTACAACTCGGTACTTTTACAACACAGTTTTGAAAATCCTCCGCCAAGACTTCATTAAAACACTCCTTACGAACACACTTCGCTCCTAGTCAGTATCCATTTTGCAACACTCTTCAATCTAAGAGTTGGTATTAGCAAGAAATCATTTAAAGGCGTCAGTAGTTATTATCTTTACAATACACGCTGGGCCGTCACCGTTTCTCTCCTCCTCACTTTGTGCATCTAAATGTTATAGCAAAGTTGCTAATTCTTCTACATAACTAGCTTTTGCAAAAAGTATTATATACAATGTGCAAAAGTTTTCCTGATATTTGGGGGCTTTAAAACCGGCATTACTGTCAATCGGCGTAAATTCAACCTGCGTAAAATGAGGGCAGCCTGTACTATAAATAATTGAATATATCAAATTTACATCTCAACAAGCGTTTATAATAATTTTAAAAGCTATTAAAAATAAGGAGAATTATACTGTTTTTAAAAAAACTAAAGCAATAGACATAAGTTTGAATTAAGTTCAAGAGTTTTTATATAATTTCAAACCGAAAAATTAACGTACAAAATTTTCGAATAAATTTCTTTATTATAGTATTGTATTATTGTTTATATTTATATTTTCATTATATTGCTATTTACATGTTATATTTATTTCCTTAGCTAACTGTCTTCTTTGGAATACTTGTAATATCCTATTTGTGTGCTTTGCTTGCAAGTTTGACTTTTGAATATTCTACGATGGCTGTTGAAAAATTTATTTTGAAAAGATTTTCGAAGATATAATATGTAAATACAATAAAAAAAAATTAGTTTTGCGATAAGTATTTTCCCGTGTCTTCCATTATAATTATTTTAAAGTCATCGAATAATATTGATTTGTAATTTTTGTATATAATAAAGTAACGAAATAAAAGTTAATTTCTAGAAATAATGAATTATGTATGCAGTATATAGTTTATACATTTAATCATTATTTAGTTTACTTTTATTTTTATCTTTATATACTAAATATAATATGAAATGTAATATATATTTATATATAAATTATAAGTGAAAGTAAATAAAACTAACATAATATAACGTATTTTAGAACTAAACCGTATTATATATAATGTTTAATATTTTATAATAAAAATTGAAATTAAGAATATAATTAAAAGAAACAGTTAAATGCAAAGGATTTCAATACACTAATAAGATAATGTTTTGAATAAGCATCGATATGCAAACGAACAATAGATCTACTAGCGATAATTTCTAGAATTTTGCAACGATGTACCGGTACAGTACATCAATACTAAAATAATTTTGCATTTGAAGATCTAATCGTAAATCAAATATTTAAATAAAGATTTAAAATATAGGACAAAATATGTTTTAAAACTACAATATTGAAGACTAAAACAAAAAACTTTCCCTTGAAGTCTTCCGATTTTCCATTCACCGGAACATAACATTAGTGGGCACAATTTGCATTAACACTTGGGTGATTTCCTGGGGGGTGCCTTCCGGAAGATCTTTTTAAGGGAAACTGGCCCCTATTTAGGCATTACAGACATGGAAAATACCCGGAAAACTCCACGTAACAAGCCCGTCCGAGCGAGGCTCGAACTTACGACCGAACTTCCAGTGTTCAGGGAACAGAAGACCGCTTTGCCACTGGTGGGCCGCTATTCGAATAAAACCGGCAAATAATCATTATTAAACTCTAATCCAAATATAAACGAGATTAAATGTAGACGGGATTTTTCAATGACGACCTTTACTGAAGTCAGTTGCACTTTATTTACTTATAGTTCTATCATTACATTTTTATTTTCTGAGATAATGAACTGAAACAACTTTCGTTTTAATTGGCACCAAGCTTTGTATTGATAGAATCGATTCTCCCAATACCCCAGGCAAAATTCATACTTAAGATCATTGTGTGCTGAAGTGAGTAGAACAGTATTATTTAAATTCTCGTTATTAAACACTCTATTCATTATGCTTCTTGCTATATTTGTTATATCCTTTTTCGTTTTCATCATTAACGATTGTAAAATCAACTCTGAAAAACGTTGAAAATATCCTACGTCCTGTATATCAAATATTCAGCCAAGATGGATGAGCTTGTTTATTTTTGCATAACTATGCAAAAATAAACAAGCTCATCCATCTCCTTAGTGTGCAAATTTTCTTTTGTCCTAATGATGATAACATAATTATAAGTAAAACAAAGAATTGTTTAAACTTATTTATTATCAGTTAATGTTTTATTTTCGCAAACGGAAAAAGTTTACGAATATGATGGAACGTCTTCTTAGAGTTCCTAAAATAACCGCTACAGGTGCCACTAGTGAACTGTCACTTTCTTGTTATTGAGTTTAGAATTTCTTCATTCATTTTATTTATTTTTACGGATTTTAAGCTTTCGAATGGATGTTATAGACATTGTATCATATTAAATGCATTCATTACGTTATTCTGTACGTTATATACTTCAATCGAGAAATGATTACACTAAAAAAAAGCACGTTTAATTAAAATCTACAGAAATTTAAACACCCGTTCGCTTATTCGAGCTTCGTCAGGTTCTAGTGCAGGGATGGCGAACCAAAAGTGGTACGTTGGGAGAATTACCTGGCACGCAACACACAAATTTCTTTTAATTTTCTTAATTTATCTTAATTCTGTTTTACTTTGCCAACTGTTATAAGAGTCGAGAATCGTACTCTGTTACGTATTATATAACAGAGAGAAAGTGTGGCGATCGGTTAAAAATGATACCCCAAGGTTTTTACATTTTTGGACTCGGGAACGTCAAGAAATGCAAAAAAAATTCTGGACATTTTTTTTTGTATTTATGGGCGTGTGTGTGGGTGAGGGGTAAACTTATCTTCACCCTTTTTGAAGTTTAATAACTTCTGTGCTTTTTGGTCGAAATTTCTGAAATTTTGCAGGGAGGTTTGTTTATTAGGAGGATTGACGTTATTCAATTTTGGTGGTTAAAGGTCGAGGGGTGGAGCGATAAAGGGGTCGTGTCATATCTCGAGTAGGAACTGACTTGACTTTACTTGTTTTTAGTATTTACAATTTTTTAAATAAAATCCATCCCTACCCTCAAAATTAATTTTTTTGCCATTTTATACTATATAAAAAGTTTTTAAAATAGACTAAAATAGTCATACCTTGGATTTTGAACGCCACATTTGTCCCAGTTGCCGAACAAGCTACTTGGCAAGAGAGACACAGACGGCCAACTTCCTACATTTCCTGTGTTAAAGAAAGTTGACAGCCTGACCAATGAACGACGGTACTACCGATTCAAAAGTCATGGGGCCGAGATCGCATCGTGTCAACGCGCATGCGGGTAAGATATTTTTTTTTCAAACCCTTTCAGCCCTGTGAGCACTAAGAGGGCTTCTTTTAACAAACCCATTATTAATTCGGCCAAGCCCACAATGGGGCGGTCGAGTGGTGAGGGACAGGACAGGACATATCCAGACGGACAACACCTGAAAAATTCAAAAATCAAAATATACCGCTCTGGGGACCCAGATTCGNCTTTACGGACTAAGGCTGTTCGAAAGGTTTTCTTCTATAAAATTAACCGATTCTAGACTAATTCGACTCAACATTTCCAAAATACGTATAATTTTTTGGGAATAACCTGTATAAACTATGCTATAAACAAAAAATTATAGGATTACTTACCGCTTATTCGAGCTTCGTCAGATTCTAGTGCAGGGATGGCGAACCAAAAGTGGCACGTTGGGAGAATTACCTGGCACGCAACACACAAATTTATTTTAATTTTCTTAATTTATCTTAATTCTGTTTTACTTTGCCAACTGTTATAAGAGTCGAGAATCGTACTCTGTTACGTATATAACAGAGAGAAAGTGTGGCGATCGGTTAAAAATGATACCCCAAGCTTTTTATATTTTTGGACTCGGAAACGTCAAGAAATGCAAAAAAAAAATTCTGGAGATTTTTTTTGTATTTATGGGTGTGTGTGTGGGTGAGGGGTAAACTTATCTTCACCCTCTTTGAAGTTTAATAACTTCTGTGTTTTTTGGTCGAATTTTCTGAAATTTTGCAGGGAGGTTTGTTTATTAGGAGGATTGACGTTATTCAATTTTGGTGGTTAAAGGTCGAGGGGTGGAGCGATAAAGGGGTCGTGTCATATCTCGAGTAAGAACTGACTTGACGACTTTACTTGTTTTTAGCATTTACAATTTTTTAAATAAAATCCATCCCTATCCTCAAAATTAATTTTTTTTGCCATTTTATACTATATAAAAAGTTTTTAAAATAGACTAAACTAGTCATACATTGGATTTTGAACGCCACATTTGTCCCGGTTGCCGAACAAGCTACTTGGCAAGAGAGACACAGACGGTCAACTTCCTACATTTCCTGTGTTAAAGAAAGTTGACAGCCTGACCAATGAACGATGGTACTACCGATTCAGAAGTCATGGGGCCGAGATCGCCTCGTGTCAACGCGCATGCGGGTAAGATATTTTTTTTTCAAACCCTTTCAGCCCTGTGAGCACTAAGAGGGCTTCTTTTAACAAACCCATTATTAATTCGGCCAAGCCCACAATGGGGCGGTCGAGTGGTGAGGGACAGGACAGGACATATCCAGACGGACCACACCTGAAAAATTCAAAAATCAAAATATACCGCTCTAGGGACCCAGATTCGATTCCGGGTCCCCAGAGCGGTACATTTTGATTTTTGATGAACATTTTGATTTATATATATATAAATCAAATAGATTAAGTATTGCATTTGTAGGCACTTTTATGCGAGAAATACAGCTAAAAAAGTATAAAAAAAAAGGTTTGTTTTGGGGGTCGGGGACAGATTAATCCATATTACATTGTTTCTTATGGGAAAATTTGTTTCAGTTTGAGAACAAATCGGTTTTCGAACTTTCAGGAACGAATTAACTTCGAAAACCGAGGTTTGAATGTATCAAAACAGATGGGCCACCAAATGTTGTCGGGAAAGTTAATTAACTCAAGCTGGAATTTTTTCTCTTGATTCATTATTATAGTAGCTGCAGTAACCAGTCGTCTTATTCGCGACAAGTTCAGTTTTATTCACTCTACAATTCTTTAGACAAGGAATTTCAAACTTTATTCATGTATTGACTCCTTTCATTATCAGGAACAGTGCTGCCGTTTTGTAAAGTAATTACCCTTTTCTTGGGTAATTTCAACCTCTCAGGGTACTATTTAGGGTAAATTTAGGTAAACTGCCTTGTGATCTGATGCTTTTATTGTAAAAGTTTTATTGTACACTTGTAAAAGAAATCTATGACAGATTTGATTTCAGTAATGACATTTTTTCCATATCTGCTTTTGCTTCAATTTGAAAATTCGCAAAATTTAACAGTGAGGTTTTTGAAATCATTGTTTAAAAAGTTTAAAAATATTAAGCTTGACTTACAAGTTGTAGACAATGAATGGCGTAAACAAGCTCTACTTAACTTGGGTTCAAAAAGTCAGATCCTACTTGTCTGAAGTATTTAATTTAAACATCGCTTATTTTATTTGGAAACTGATGAAATTTTGAAATAACTTACGTTAAAAGCATGTCTTAGCAGGCTATCCTCAAAGTGATATCTCTTGCTGTAATGTCTTGTTGTAAATGATCTTCTGAAAGATCTTAATAATTTTGGTTCGTACTATACACAATAAAATAATCAAAAACTACAAATGCAAATTGCAAACTTACATTTGTAGTTTACAAAAAGTTACATTTTTTTTTACATTCTTTATTAGACAATACAGTATTTTTAACCTTACAGAAACTTGTATTTAATGTTATATATATATATATATATATGTGTGTGTGTGTGTGTGTGTAATATATATACAAAAGCAGCAACAATGCA